ATTGACCTATAGGTCGACGAGCCATAACGACATCTGTTACCTTATTTAAATTTATGTAAGCGTAAAGTATATACCAGATATTTCATTGTTATAGCAGCAATTATAGGCCAGTGGGTGACTAATAAGCAAATTTAGAGAAATAATTTTTTTTTTTAAAAATGTATCGGCTGCAAAATATAATTTTGTTTGTGTAAATCTTATATGGTCAGATCTTACATGTGGTGAGATAAATTCTATGTGAAACTGAAAAGCTACACAAGAGAATCAACCTTCATAGATCTGATTCGAGAACGATTTTTGTGATTTGAATTTTTAGTGCAGCTCTAAAACAAAATTTAGTCATATCGCTACGATGTCTATAGTGTGGCAGTTTATAGTTATGTCTAGCACTGGGGGATCATGCTGCAGACATGTAGCACGATGTCCCACCCGGTCACATTATCCTGACACTAGTCCGATCAGTCAAAAAATAAACTCCGAATGTCGAGCACCTAGCCAGACAGCTGTTAGTACCATTTTATACGTCATTGATATGATTAGATGGGAGTTCGAACCCGCGACCTCCCGCTTCCTAGGGAGAATGGATCATACAGGATACGCCGGCTTAGGACATTTAAACAAAGCGGTTTAAACCAATAAGACTTCAAAAGACAGCCATGCACAAATGAAATTGTCTTAATTGCCTATGACTCTATGTGAAATTCATCCTAAACTTTTAAAATTAATTTGACCTGAAAACTACTAAAGTGACCAAAAACAAATTACAAATAAAGGAATGAAACGGACTATTATGAATAAGGAAAATAATTTTGAGGACTACTAATTAAAATATGCACTGACTATTTTAAAACAACTAATTGGTTAATTATCATGTGATTCTTTTCCAAATGAGGTAGTTGAAAACCTACTACCTCTTCTCATAATATTCTTCGTTCCATTGATTCATTTAATTATATTTATGATCATGAAGTTACTCTAAAATAAAAAGTTCAGGGATTTGCACTTTTGGTACCATTGTCCCTTGTTACACACCTGAGAACAAGCATCAGTTACCAGATGCATTCGGCAAGCGGTCGACATTATATTTAAAAATATAGATCACTGTCAGCCCCTTTTTCATAAACAACAATAACAAAACTAATAAACTAACCGCTGAGAAGTAACAAATTTCATAGTCATCAAAACTATATTATAAATAGTGAACTAAACTACATTAGTATTTTACTTTCTTTTCGTGTTGTGCTATACTTCTTTACAGCATTCACAGTAAGTATTCAACATATGTTTTTACAGCTAAATTCATGTTTTCTGCAATAGCCATTTATGTCTTTTAGAAAATTTGTAAAATGGAATAAAGTAAATTGGTCTGCCGTATTCTTTAATGTGTGTCAAAAACTATAAAGTGTTCAAAATGTCCCCAAGTCAAGTAGTTTTAAGACAGTTAACTTAGTCAACATAGCTGCTCGGTACTAATTCTATCTGTGGACAACTTAAGTTAGAGCACTTGTCTCAACCTGCTTTTAATGACAGATGAATATGTCAAGTACTGATCCCATAGTACGAACGAGTTTTAAAACTGGGTCTGCCTTTTTATTATTTCAGGTTTTAAAGGCACTTTAGCACATTATTTACCTATATAATGCACATAATTGGAAGCTCGGTGCCATTTGCAAGGACACACCTAAACAGCCCATTTGGATGGTCTGGTCAGGAATCAAACAAATGTCCCTTGATTACGATTCCAACGCTTTACCAGCTGAGCCACCGAATGAGAATACTATTATCCTGAAGATTGAATGCGACACAAAGCTAAAGAAAAAAAAAATCTACTATGTTTTCTATGACATTTATAATGCTATCATTCTTGAAGTTGTATGTGTGTTCTACAAACGCTAATTATGGGCTTCACATTTCGTGACCAGCAGAATTAAATTAATCAAATTTTACAGCCACAAAAAATAGAGGCAGCTTATTTCAGTCTTGTGCAAGACAAAACAAAACTCAGATAGTGCGGGTGTCTGTGTGAACTATCATCAAAACAAACGCGAGCAACACACAATTATTTATCTTTTATTTTAAACCCACTGAAACGTGGCGTAAACCATACCATATTTGCTTCTTGCATTTACTGATGGTCATTGAGAAATTTACATTTTAATCTCCTCTGTAGGTAATGGCCGGATGGGTAATACAGATATTGCCGTGATGGTCTTTCTTTTGTCAGCAATCCGTCTATCCGCAGTTTTATTTTCTTATTATCTCTTAGACATCCATTATATCTCTATGAAACTTAGTAAAAATATTAGAAAAGTAGTCCAGCTATTGATTTCGCCATCCAGTTCTAATATTTTAACGTTTTTGTCCACGTTTCTGTTCATCCACTCCATTATTTGCACTCCGTTTCCAGGATAACATCCAATACCGCTTTAAAATTATATATATGAATGTTTATAGGTATATACGAGACTAGTGGGCTCCATGTGCCTCTTTGTACAAATGACACACATTTATTTCTGGAAGACCATTTAATAAGTTGCGCTCTCTCTCTCTCTCTCTCTCTCTCTCTCTCTCTCTCTCTCTCTCTCTCTCTCTCTCTCTCTCTCTCTCTCTCTCTCTCTCTCTCTCTCTCTCTCTCTCTCTCCATTTGAAAAGAGGCAATTGTCAACAGAATATTCTGTTCAGAATAATATTATTTTTGGACACTCCGAATACCACTCCTATGTTTTCATGACTCACAATGTGTCGGTCTATTCTGCGCACAGCTTTGAAAAGATGTAAGTTTTATCCATTGGAAAGATGTTGTTGTTATTGTTGTTGTTGTTGTGCTTTAACGCCATTTTCAGCACACGATAGGCTATACATGGCGGTCAGTATTAATGGTGAAGGAAGAACCTGGTAAACTCCGGAAAGAACCACCTACCCACGAAAAGCTACTGGGAAGCTTTCTCATCGGAAAGTTGTAATGTTTATCCATTGGTCTATAGAAATGAAATATATTACTTTGGACTGTTTCTTTCAGCAGTTTATTTGATTAATTAGGTCAGATTTATAGCTGGTTTCACAAAATTCAATGAAACAATGCCAATAAATTAAAAGAGATATTAAGCAAACTAATCCGATCTTGTAAAACATTAGTAAAGTTCAACATTTTATAAAAATAAAATAACCTATTATGTGGAAGAGAAACAACAACAAATAGAATGTAATGTGTTTACAACGTCTTTTTTATGGGAAAAAAAGCTCAAAAAATTATGAAATAGACTATCCTTCGAGAATTTATCGAGCATCCCGTAGCGGCAAGTTGACGCAGGGTAGCAGATGATTTTGTACGTGTGGGACAACTTCTTGCAAATGGTAAGCATTGCAGTACTTTTAGAATACATATTTTTGTCGTGAATCGGTCGAATTCGGTATGTGTTTTGCTTCAGCAGAAGTGTATATAAAGAGAGAGAGAGAGAGAGAGAGAGAGAGAGAGAGAGAGAGAGAGAGAGAGAGAGAGAGAGAGAGAGAGATGTGTCTATGTATGTATGTATGTATGTATGTATGTATGTATGTATGTATGTATGTATGTATGTATGTATGTATGTATGTATGTATGTATGTATGTATGTATGTATGTATGGATGGATGGATGGATGGATGGATGGATGGATGGATGGATGGATGGATGGATGGATGGATGTATGTATGTATGTATGTATGTATGTATGTATGTATGTATGTATGTATGTATGTATGTACCACCAACCTACTGGCACATACATTCCAAATCACGCTGACAGAGACGGAGATGTGTACGTGACCTGTAGGCTAAAGGCAAGCGCCTCGATCACTCAGCCACTTGACACCCCGAAGCATTAAAAAGAAAGTCGTCAGATAATAGTGATTGAAAAATAAATTAAATTAAAAATCGACGTTACAACTAAAACTATTAATAATATAGAACAATCTAACACAGGTAATCCAATAAATCTAACATCTAATAAATAACATCTAATTACTATTTGGGTTTCTTGCGGGACAGGTTACCTACACACGGAAGAAGTAAGAGACGTAGACATCGTGTGACTATGCCACAGGGTGTCACACGAAATAGGCCTGCGAAAGAGCCTCAGAAAAATCGGTGTGTAACACATGGACATGCAGTACACATATACGAGAAATAGGGAACGCAACTAAAATTGGTGACCCCTTTTTTAAACCTTTAAATTACAGGTTATTCGGCTTGTCTTCAGTATTTCGTAATATAAAGGAATTGGGATGCATCTAAATGCAAGGGGTGAGATAAATAAATAAAGGAAATGTTACTGCACTACGCAAGCCAAGTATCCTCATCATGATAATAGCTATTATCATTTATTTAACAGTTTAATATTTAAGAAGATATTAATATGTTTATAGAACAGAAAGAAAATCCACTGCTTACAAAAATAAAATCTGCGCAAAAGTTAATACAAGCAAAATAGCATGGTAAGTCTTCGGCGAACCCCATACTAATACAATAGTACAGTCAACAACGTCAGTCTTAAGGCTCTATAAATATGCGTCGTATCAAAGCGTCAAAGCGATTTGGAGTCCTGTGCATGTACAATGAAAACGTATCATCGTGACCCACATTAGTTTTTGGCTATCATATGTCTGAAGATCTGCATCATATTTATAAGCCTTTAGTTGAGTCGGCCGGGGTTCGAACCCACGACCTATCGCATCCGAGGCGGACGCTCTAAATATTAGGCTACTGGTTCTGTCCATTCACAGAACAAAAAGTTTAATTGATCATAGCAGCTGTTCAGTATTTAGAACGATACACGGCATAACTGAATCATAATGGATGATGAAATTCGATTGTCTGTCAAAATGTCGGTAATTCATTCGTCTACCACATGTAAAAGTCACTGAACATTACAAATTTGCAAACTCGAGACAGCAAAACGGATTGTCGGTTTTAATCTCACCCTATATGGCGCATTTGTGACCTAATATCTTGAACTCGAACAACCGCTCTGGTGGCCTAGTGGTTAGAGCGTCCGCCTCAGATGCAGGAAGTCGTGGGTTCGACTACATGTCAGCAGCATGATGCCCCAGTGCTAGACATCACTATAAAGTGCCACACTGCATACGTCGTAGCGATATGACTGAAAAGTTGTTAAAGTTACGTTAGAAACCACAATCAAAAGTGAATCGCTCATCCAATACGTGTTCAGGAAAAAAAAAATGTAATGACAATTATTTCTCTTGAGATTGCGTATTCAAGCTTTGAGAACACATATTCATGCTGTCTCTAGTAAGAAATCGTGTCTTACGAAGAACTTCTCCAACTAGTTGTCAGAAGAAAGCCTATTCTAGCTACAAATACGCGTATTCTAGTTTAGAGAACGTGAAATGTTTTAAAGTTTATGACCCTGTTTGTCTTGCAAGGATATCAGGTCGTTCAAAGACGCGAAGTAAAAGCTTCCGTTTCACCTAATGTAGGATTCGACTGCGCATAATGGAGAGCTAGATTTTCGTATCGTATACCGATCATCAAAGCTCTTTAATGGGCTCTCATTAGTTCCTGCCTTAAGATCGCAAAGCGTTTCAGCGTTGTCGCCGGAGTGGCGTGCAGTATACGATTACCTGTTACAAAGCAATATTTTGTAAGCCAGCACTCTAGGCCATTAGAACGCACACGTGTACATTTGCCAGAAAAGAAATTGTATACTTTTATCGAGGCCGTAAGTACTGCGCACCATGTTTGTATAGTATGCTTTCAACTTAATAAGTTAAGGTGTTTCTGCAACGCTTGGTCCGAATGTATGTATGTATGTATGTATGTATGTATGTATGTATGTATGTATGTATGTATGTATGTATGTATGTATGTATGTATGTATGTATGTATGTATGCATGCATGCATGTATGTATGTATGTATGTATGTGTGTGTAGGGTTCATCAGCACGAATCAGGCCATGTAGTACCGATTAAGTTCAAGCATTTCCAAGAAGGCATAAAGTCACAAAATGGCAAAATTATTCCTAAAATACAACGTCAATTTTTGTACAAAACCCCAGCATTAATGTGTATTTTCTTTAAGTGGGTCATTTCTTTTTCTAATTAAGACTTTGTAAAAACTGCAGACCTTAAAAAGTTTATTGTATTGACATTATCCTGTTTATTTTGCATAGTTGTTTCGGCTAAGTAATAAATATAAAGCATTTATGCTAGATTGTTCATTTTGATTGTTATTGTGAGCTGACATCCTTGCAGAAAAGACTACGCACACACGTACGCGCGCACATACATACATACATACATACATACATACATACATACATACATACATACATACATACATACATACATACATACATACATACATACATACATACATACATACATACATACATACATAGAGCTGGTAATGACCTATCACGTAATTATGGCTGGTTTGATTCTGCTAACGTCAGATTAATGGGTTTGAATAAAATATAAGCAAGCTCAACCTTGTACTGCTACGGTGCGACAACTTAATCGATCACGTGATGAGTTTGGGAGGCGACAAAGAAATACCTAATCGAAGTACAGGTAGGATGAGAACTAGTTTTGCAGTTGGGTAAGTATGTGATCCCTCATGCAATTACAGTTCCTAAAATCCAATGAAAGTGAAATTTGTTACAATAGTATTACACCTTAAGTGCTTTAGACACCTAAAGGTTTCAAAGTAGTACGGAAAAAAGGATCAGTGATAAATCCATACCTGGCTAAAGTTTTCTTGATTTCTCAAGATTACAACAAGCAATAAAATCAAAACATTCCTCTATATGATGACATACCATTCCAATGAAATGTTAAGCGACGATTAAATTAAGACATAAACAGTGCAAACATAAAGTGTACTTTCTAAAACTCCAGCAAAATTGCTCAAATGCTGTCATGTAGCTTTTAAAGTTACGAGTTACGATCATTTAAAAATGTTCGGAGGACAAAACTCAACACAAAGTGTTACCTTTACCTGATTTTGACATGGGAATGTAATTTTGTGTAACCAATGTTGACCAGATGTTTAAATGATATAATATGTGTTGATATTATTTTGATATACATCTTATTGAATTTTAGCATATTTGTCTTTTATATTCCATCTTGTTGTACTTAATACTTACATTTATTGGAAATATTTATGTGCAAAATCTTATTTGTAATCTTTTTGAAGTTAGCTTCTATTTAGCAATATATAACCATTATTGTGCTGATATGCCTTTAAATGCAACATACATACAGACATACAGACAGATATGTAAAACCTTTTTCCTAAATTAATTATCAATACATTTAAATTAACATTAATCTTCAGATGCACGCATTTATTGTGAATAAAAACGAATGAATGTTTTTATATTATACAGAAAATATGACGTCTAATTTTATTTTTTAACAACTTTTGTATTATATCGATTTCCGACTTCAGTGTCACTTTAATACATGCAATTTGTGGCAATGCTGTCCTGCAAGTAATATTAAACTAGTAACGATTTCCAAGGCTGCTGATTCAAAGGTCTGTATGCTACTAAATTTGACTAATGACCTTACAACATGATCTAGGGATGATAACAGAGATATAAATTTAACCTGATAGCTCAATCACGTCATAAGTCCAGAAATTTTTGTACAGATGTGTGAAGGAGATCAGATTATTTCCTTACAAAAGGAATAAGTACACAATTAATAAAATCCGGTTCAGTACCCACGAATGTAGTCCCAGTCTATTTTTAGATCACTTTTTCCTGTCAAAGTTTGGTGGTGATACTAGAATCAGATTTTGGCATTTTTCAAAAATAATATTCAAACAGATTATTTGAATTTAACTTTCTACAACTGATCCTAATATGGTTACATAGCTGACATAGACAAATATGCATATATTTTGTAATGTTTGGAATCAAAAGTTGACATTGTTAGACTGACATAGTACCTATAGTGAATCTGTAAGGCTCTGTTTTGACTGTGTGCACTTAAAATATCCCAAGATATTATTTTCATCATGAATATGCCTCTGTATGGTAACACATTTTAATTTAGTACTTTGACAGAGGGAGGTATTGCAGCATCAGCTGATATCTGATTCCATTGAATCATTGAATCATTGAACTTAATAACTTGGTAGCCAAGACTCTTAAAAATAGACTGTGACAAATTGGCGGCGTGCAAAACACACCAACCTCTTTCACTACGGTTCGTTGCTAGGGAATGACATCCGCGGTGTACTTTACCCAGTGTGGATAGATAGAAAGAAGAATGCAGATCAATGAACAAGTATATTGAAGAAATAACAAATTTAGCCCCCTTTCAATAAACAAATATAAAATTCAGTCAGTTTATCAACAGAATTTAAAATGAAAAGAAATCAATGATTTGGTTACAAAAGAAGGAAAATGGTACTAACATGTACTCAAATAAAAAGAGAATACAATTTTTTTAAATGTAAAATTACTTTCAACGTTAAATTACTATCTTCATAGCCAATGAGATGTGACCTTTGAGTGCAACGATGAGAGACTTCATCACCTATTTTTTTGCAGATATCAAGACTTCCGTTCGTCCCTGCTCTGCCGATTTTTGTCTAGCTGTTTCGTCTTGGACGCTTGTCCGTCGAACTCTGACTTAACAATCATCTCTGGACTTAGATTTCTGCGTAGAACTTGTTCTGGTCCTGTAATTGTTTAGGGATTTCTCATGTGAATCCAGGAAAGCTGTTTCCTTCAATAAATAAAATGTCTCGCAATAGACAATAGGTCACATTCCCAGTATATTTATATTTTTACATTAATTCGGCTCAGAAAACAAAAGGCATAAATTCTGCCGCAGTAACTCATTGCTCCCTAACTGTTATGTTTACATAAACGGTCAATGCTTGTCCTGACCTTAATTCGGGTCACGCTAGGGATGGTCAGTTAAATTCAACTCAGCCGTATGAACCCGTATGTAAACCCCCCTTGACTTCTTACTCTGTTAAGTTACATATGGCTTAGACCTCCAGATCTAACTATTCTAAAATAGTTTACTGGACCAATTAAATATTATAAACTAGCATATATATATATATATATATATATATATATATATATATATATATATATATATATATATATATATATATATATATATATATACATATATATATATATATATAGATATATATATATATATATATACATATATATATATATACATATATATACACATATATATATATATATATATATATATATATATATATATATATATATATATATATATATATATATATATATATATATATATATATATATATATAATTAAGAGATCAATTAAATATTACAAACTAGTATATGGATATACATGTAATGTTAGGTCATACTCATTTTAGACAGAGTTAATCCATAACACTATGAAATATTACCCATCATTCCTTAAATCATTCATGAAAATTCCTAATCTCTCCTATGTATTAAAGATTCAATTACATGCAATCTTGTCAACTAATCTAATGAAATTTAAATTACATTCAATCTTGCCACTTCTCCAAATGAATTGATAATTAGAAAATCAAAGAATAAAATATCATGACTAGCATTTCACTAAAATCCTGCAAAATAAAATAATACATACATATATCATATCAAGAATACATTTGAAATAGATCAACAAATGAAATAACATATTAAAATCGGGAAACTAAGATTGCGTACCTTTTGCCGTTTCTATATTCGTTTCCACGAATCTCACGTATAGTCCGTCTCCTAACTGAGACAACTATCTGGCCCCTTACTCTATAATGAAAACGTACTTTTTACGAATTCAAAGTGTAGAGTTTGCCTACTCGCTGAGACAAAACTCCCGCTTTACTGCCAAATCACGAGATAACGTCTTACACGATCCCGGAATCGTTTAGCTTTCCTCGCGAAAGATTAAAGACTAAAGAATTTTTCTAGAGTAAAACCTTTAATTTCTTACAGAGTAACGCCCATAAATCCATATTAACTAATCGGAATAGACTGTGTCCTAAACCTGTTCCGTAGAATTTTTGGATTGACAAGACAACTAAACAACTAAT